ACACGTGTGGCAGAAATTAAATGAAAAAAGTAGATAAATTAAACTCCTGTATATATTTATTTCACAAAAACACTCATCATGTGTTAAGTCAAAAGAGACCGAATAAAAAAAGCAGGGATTATGTATTCCGCCTCATGTATTTTTATTTTTATTTTTATTTTTTTTTATTTTATTTATTTTTTATTTTATTTTTATTTTCTTCACAACAAAGAAACAAACTAATATAATAAGGGTTATAGTATAAATATGAGTATTTTGTAGAAAATCTTTAGATCAGGCCAAAGTAATTCCTATGAAAAAATGCATGGAAATGTTCATAGTAATAAAGATGTTGGTAATAGAAATTGCAGCTACTGTTTCCTGAGGACGTGTTCAGTGCTTTAGGTCTATCTCATTTAACTCTCAAAACACTCTGGTAGAGAGATTCTGTCCAGGAGAGAAGATTTGCTGGTGATACTGAAATTAAGAGAAATAATGCGATATTTTTCTGGGTTACCTAGCTGTTAAGTTGCAGAGCTACAATTCACCCCTCCCTCTGGCTTTGCAGGTTGGGCTTTATGTTAATCAGAAAGAAAAGGGGACGCTGGGCACAGTAGTTCATAGCTGTACTCCCAGCGCTTTGGAAGGCCCAGGTGGGCAGATCATTTGAAGGTCAGGAGTTTGAGACCAGCCTGACCAACATGTTGAAACCCTGTCTGTACTAAAAAAATTAGCTGGGCATGGTGGTGGGCACTTGTAGGCCCAGTTACTTGGGAGATTGAGGCAGGAGAATCACTTGAACCTGGGAGGTGTAGGTTGTAGTGAGCCGAGATCGTGCCACTGCACTCCAGCCTGGGTGACAGAGTACGAGTCTGTCTCAAGAAAGAAAAGGGGAAATGCAAAGCTATTCAGTAGGGATCTCAAGGTTTTGGAAGGCAAACAGTGTAGTCATCCAAATAAAAAGAAAAAGAAGCAATAAAATTAATAAAATGTCAACTAGAAAATGAGAGCCGAATCAAAGTAGGAACACACTGAGAAATGATTTTTGAGGCACGGTTTTGCTCTGTTGCCCAGGTTGGAGTGCAGTGGTGTGTGATCATGACTTGCTGCAGCCTCAAACTTTTGGGCTCAAAAAATCCTGCTTCAGCCTTCCAAGAAGCTAGGACTATAGGCACGGACCATGACACCCAACTATTTTTTTTTAATTCTTTTATGACAACACTGAGCTGATTTTTAATTTAAAAATATTTTATGGAGACAGGGTCTTGCTGTGTTGCTCAGACTGGTTTGGAACTCCTGGCCTCAAGTGATTCTCCTGCCTCAGCCTCCCAAAGTGCTAGAATTACAGGCATGAACCACCAATCTGGCTGAAAATGATACATTTTAATGAGAAAAACATAGGTTAAATGGAGAGATAGCCAATAAGCATTGATATCAAGACTAAACAGGAAAAATGACAGTGCTTCCCAAATTAATTCATATACTCAAAATGATTGCTGTTAATATGTCAATGGAATCCTTTTGATAGTCTGCCTAAATAATTTCAAAATTCACTTAAAAAAGTGCATGAGTAAGAGGATCAAAAGATGGCCCAAGTTGGTCCGAGTATTGTGGGTTATTGTTAAGCTGATTTAACATTGTCTCTCCCACAGCCATGCTTGACTAGCTTAAAAAAAAAAAAAAAAAAGAAAACAAAAAATAATGGCCCAAAAGGAGATTGGGCAATGTGGAGACTTACTGTTTTAGATAAGATATAATGTGAGGCCATAATTGTTTATGTAGCCATAAAAAGAAAAATGAAGACTAACAGACCAATATAAACGTGAGAAGTAGAATCTAATTTGTGCATGAACCTAGAGTGTTATAACTAACACCATGGGGAAAGGTATTTAAAATTACTGTATGCCATGTAGCAAATATTCCAAGAGGATTCAAGTTAAAAAATAAACCCACAAACGGGTTCAAGCAATTCTCCTGCTTCAGCCTCCCCAGTAGCTGGGATTACAGGCCCTGCCACCACACTCGGCTAATTTTTTTTTTTTTTTTTTTGTATTTTTAGTCGAGGTGGAGTTTCACTGTGTTAGCCAGGACGGTCTTTGTCTTCTGACCTCTTGATCCACCCACCTTGGCCTTACAAAGTGCTGGGATTACAGGCGTGAACCGCTGCACCTGGCCCTGAAAAATATTTTAAAAGGCAGAATACTTTTTTAAAAAGTTTTATTTTGTTTTAAATTGACACAATGATTGTACATATTAATGGGGTACTGTATCTTGAACTGAGCTGAGCTCAAGTGATCTGCCCACGTTGGCCTCCCAAAGTGTTGGGATTGCAGGTGTGAGCCACCGTGCCCAGCCAAATAACACATTAGGTAATGATCAAGTTAGGATAATTAACATTTCTATCGCCAAAACACTTGTCATTTCTTTGGGGTGAGATGGTTCAGAATCATGTCTTCATCTATTTTGCAACATACATTACATTAATGTTAACTATATAGTCACCCTACTGTGCTATATATCACCAAAACTGATTCCTCTATTCTGTGACTTTATACTTGTTGACCAACCTCCCCCGCTCCTGCCTACTAACCACTATTTACTCTCTAATTCTATGAAGTCACATTTTTAGCATTTACATATGAGTGAGATCATGTGGTATTTGTCTCTCTGTGTTGGGGTTATTTCTGTATTTCATTGGACATAATGTCCATTAGGCTTATCCATGTTGCTGTAAATGTGGTAAACAGAAATACAAGTATTTCTTTGACAAACTGACTTTCTTTCTTTCGGATCTATACCTGGTGGTGGGATTGTTGGATCATATGGTAGTTCTATTTTAGTTTTTGGGAAGATTCCTAATTACAGCACTATTCATAAAAACCAAGATATGGAATCAACCTAACTATCTATCAGTCAATGAATGGACAAAGAAAATGTGCTATGTGTTCACAGTGGAATACTATTCAGCCATAAAAAAGAATAAAATCCTCTCATTTGCAGCAACATGCAACATGGATAAGCCTAATACAGCAAGTATTATAGTTTCTGAAGTTCCTCTTGTTAGTGATTTTTAGTTTTATTCCATTGTGGTCAAAAAATATAATTGATATGATTTTGATTTTTAAAATTTGTTCAGACTAGTTTGCTCCCTTTAGGTCGATTAATAATTGCTTTGTATATTTAGTTGTTCCAATGTTGTGTGCATATATATTTATAACTGTTACATCTTTCTGCTGTATTGATCATTTTATATGACTTTTTATATAATGGCCTTCTTTTTCTCTTTTTACAGTTTTTGGCTTAAAGACTTATGTATTTTGTATTAGTACAGCTACATTTTTTGTTTCCATTTGCATAGAATACCTTTTTCTACCCCTTTTCTTTGAGTCTGTGTATTCTTAAAATTGAAAGGAGTCTCTTGTTGGCAGCATTTGGTTGGATCTTGTTTTAATCCATTCAACCACTCTATATCAGCAGAATACATTTTTGAATTAATGAAGCAATAGAAGAAATAACAAGCCAGATTATCATGGCGGTATAAAAAATTTAAAACTTACAATTAAAAACAATATAACAATGAAAAAGAAAGCACTAGAATGGAGAAGTATTTGAGAGAATTAAAAGTTTAATATTATAGTATATGAGGACATATTCTAAGATTATGTAAAGGGAACTTTGTATGTAAACAGTAGTTCTCACCATAGGAAACAAAATAACAAAACTGATGAATTATTTAATTATGATTATTTAAAAATATAGTCTTAATTCTGTGATATAAATATCTAGGAACTGAACAAAAACATGAGTTTAAAATCCTGTTACTGGTGAGAAATAAATATATTGCTTTAATTTTCCTTATTTGGTCATTTGTGACAGGAGCTATTAAAATGACTATTTTTTTGTCCAGCAATCTTGCCTGTAAAAATTTACCTTAGAGAAATAATTGAAAAGAATAAAGAACCTTGCCCAGGCATGGTGGCTCATGCCCGTAATCCCAGCACTTTGAGAGGCTGAGGCAGTGCATTGCCTGAGTTCAGGAGTTTGAGACCAGCCTGGGCAACATGGCAAAACCCCGTCTCTACCAAAAAACAAAAAAATTAGCTGGGTATAGTGATGTGTGCCTGTGGTCCCAGCTACTTGGAAAGCTGAGGTGAGAGAATTGCTTGAGGCTGGGAGGTGAAAGTTGCAGTGAGCTGAGATCACACCACTGCACTCCAACATGGGTGACAGAATGAGACCCCATCTCAAAAACAAAAACAAAATAAAAATGAATAAGAACCTTATGTATAGGTCTTTTAAAACACATAATTTATATAGCAAAAACAATAAATAGATTAAAAAAGCTTTGAAACCAGCCTAAATACTCAAGGTATTTGATGGACTGTAATACAAATATTAAATTACAAATATGCAAATTAGATAAAATCAAGGAAACTTACTTGTTAATAATATTAAATAAAACAACAGAATGCAAGATTAATGTATGCACTACTTATTTATTTGTGAAGTTTGCCTATGAAGATTGTACAATTCCATAGTGACACAGTCATTTTTTTTTTTGGGATGGAGTCTCACTCTGTCACCAGGCTAGAGTGCAGTGGAATGATCTTGCCTCACTGCAACCTCTGACTCCTTGGTTCAAACGATTCTCCTGCCTCAGCCTCCTGAGTAGCTGGTATTACAGACATGTGCCACCACACCCAGCTAATTGTTGTATTTTTTAGTAGAGACAGGATTTCACCATGTTGGCCAGGATGGATTCGATCTCCTGACCTCAGGTGATCTGCCTGCTTCGGACTCCCAAAGTGCTGGGATTACAGACCTGAGCCACTGTGCCTGTCCCAGTCATTGTTTTAATACACAATAATAGGTAAATTTAAAATTACTGAAATTTAGAGGTTTTTTTTATACATATGAAGGAAAAATCGTGTCAGGATCTCCAGTTGGACATTTGTGTCCTCCAACAATCAACAGATGTCTGAAAACCCCTGGCGGTTGACCTATTGTGCTTTTATTTACAGTGCTTGTTTCAGGTTCTGGTAAACATTCCTCAGAGTCCAAAAGCGGGGAAGCCTAGCATTGCAGCCACCCCTGTCAGCACCCAGCATGGATCCATTCTACAGCTGAACAACACCTTGGAAGAGAAAGAAGTTTGTAGGTTTGTGCCTGCTATAATGTGATCTAAGTGAAGTCTGCATTTTCTCTTTTTCTATTTTGGTTTTAGCTTTTTTTTCTCTTTTTTTTTTTTTTTTTTTTTTTTTTTTTTGAGACAGAATCTCACTCTGTTGCCCAGGCTGGAGTGCAGTGGCGCGATCTCGACTCACTGCAACCTCTGCCTCCCGGGTTCAACAATTTCTCCTGCCTCAGCCTCCCGAGTAGCTGGGTCTATAGGTGCGTGACACCACACCCAGCTAACTTTTTGTATTTTTAGTAGAAACGGGGTTTCACTGTGTTAGCCAGGATGGTCTCGATCTCCTGACCTCACAATTTACCTGCCTCGGCCTCCCAAAGTGCTGGGAGAACGGGCATGAGCCACCACGCCCGGCCAGCTTTTATTCTCTTTACAGTATTTATCTTTTCTAGTCTGTACCCAGGAATATGTATTATTCTGCCTTCATGACATTAGCAAAATCCAACTTCTTATTTCCTAATCTAACCATTTGTCTTAATTTTACCTAATGTTTATAGGTTGGAATACAAATTTGGAGAATTTGGGAACTATTCTCTCTTGGTAAAGTACATCCATAATGGAGTTAGTGAAATTGCCTGTGACCTGGCTGTGAACGAGGATCCAGTTGACAGTAACCTTCGTACGTATGTGTTCTCTGTTGATTTTCACATTTGCGTTTTCAGAGGTTTCAGTTTTTGACTACTGTTTGTAAAGCAGAGCAGTCTGTAATACTTTCTGTAATTGAAAACCTAAATCTTAGATCATTGATGAGCACCCCACCAATAAAAAAATTCACATAAATTGTAGGTTATTTATCCTACAATTTATAATATGGTACAATTTATAAATATGGTATATTTATAATATATTTATTATTTGAATATAATAATAAAATTATGTGACATTAAAAAATTATATATTGGCCTGGCATGGTCGCTCATGCTTGCAATCCCAGCACTTTGGGAGGCCAAGGCAGGCAGATCACTTGAGTTCACAAGTTTGAGATGAGCCTGGGTGACATGGTGAAACCCTGTCTCTACAAAAAATACAAAAATTAGCCAGGCCTGGTAGTGCATGCCTGTAGTCCCAACTAGTTGGGAGGCTGAGGTGGGAGGTAGAAGTTGCACTGAGCCAAGATTGTACCGCTGAACTCCAGCCTGGGTGACAGAGCCAGACCTTGTCTCAGAAAAATATTATATGATATATCAATATATTCTCATAGTTTTTAGTTTAATTATGAAGCATTAACAAACCTAAAAAGTTAATGCAGTGGAAAGAAACTAGAAATAGGGTAAATGGCTGTCAAATATCTCTCCTTGTTTTAGGAGGAAGGGTATTGTATTTCCTGTACGTCTTCCACTGACAGTCCAGGGTCCTCTTAGATAAAGGAGGGATCATTCATTGTCCAATAACCCCAAGGAAGAAAATCTGCCCTTCTGAGTTTCCCATTAGGTAACTGTGTGTGCTGCCTTTCAAAAGGTGGTAACCAATCCCTGCGGCATGAGCAAGTACTGTTCACAGAGAAGCTATTAAAGACTGTGAGGTTATATCAAAAGAACACAGGAGCCAGTATGAAAGGGCCAATGGAGGAGGACAATTTAAGCATTAAGAAGAACAGTATATGTAATTGAAGAAAAATAATGAATGTGTAAAAACCATGAGGTCATATGAAAATAAGTGAGCAAGGCCAGCCTTCCCAAACAAAAACACAAACAATGCTTTGTCTTTGTAGGTAACCAGGGCACCTGATGTTAACTAGGGTGATCTAAAGTTGTTAATTGAAAGGAGAGATTTAAGCATTTATTTTGCCCGTTTTAACTAATTCAGGATAACCAAATAGTCCCTGTTGAGGGAAAATTCTGTGGAGAAGAATTTCAGGTAATAAACACAGCAAAAGGGCAGGATATGTTACAACCCCTAATGAAGTAAGTGATTCAGGGATATACCATGTGAGTAGAAGAAACCATGAGGTGAAGGGGAATTTTTACCAGCTGAACACATCCACCAGTCATGGGTCAACCACAGCAGGTGCACTTTCAGTGTTAGCCAGGAAGTTATTGTTGATTTCATATGACATTGTGGTTATATAACAAAATATCCATTTCAAAGATACTTTTTGTTTTGAAATAGTTTTAGATTTGTAGAAGTGTTGCAAAAAGAGTTCCCAAATATCCTTCACCTAGCTTCCCCTAAACCCTAAACTGTAAAATCGTAGTATAGTTACCCCACATACAATTACCAAAACCAGGAACTTAACGTTGTTCTTAACATTGAACTTACATGGATACAGTACTGATCTACAGGGTTATTTAAATTTCTCTAAATGTCCCTTTTAGTATTCTTCTGCGGTGCTGGCTTTGATGTAGGATCCCACACTGCATTTAGCTGTCAGATCTCCTTCGTCTCCTCCAGTCTAGGACACTTCCTCAGTCTTTCTTTGTCTTTCATGACCTTGACGGTTTGAAGGGTAATGTCTGGTTATTTTGTCGACTGTCCTTGATTTGGATTTGCTTGATGTTTCATGTTTTCTCATGAACAGGTGGAGGTTTTACATTTTTTAGTAGAATACAACAGAAGCAAGGCTTGGTCCTTCTCAGTGCCTTGTGTCAGGAGGCGCACGATGTCAGACTGTCTTTATAAGGGCTTTAGAGTCACATCCTGAAGTATGTAAGAATGAAATAACATGATATGTTGGATTCTTAAAGAAATAGTTTAGCCAGAAAAAGGAAGATGTGGAGTGGGTAGGTAGTTATAGATGAAGCAACAGGGACTGTATCTCGGTAATTCTAGGATCTGGGTAATGGGTTATATACGGGTTGATGATACCATTCTCCATGCTTTTGTTTATGTTTGATATTTTTTATAATGACAGTTGTGACTCCCTTCAGGATGAGCATTCTCAATTATTTCTAGGAAATTCAGCATGAGAATTCAGGCTTCCCCTCATTGTTTTTCATTTATAGATGAATTGTAATGATGTGATCTTTGATGTTTGTGATGACATCTTTGAGGTGTGTTTTCTTTTCTTTTTCTAGCTGTGAGCATTGCATTCCTTATTGGTCTCGCTCTCATCATTGTGATATCCTTTCTGAGGCTCTTGTTGAGGTAAGATGTGCGGGGAGGACACTGCTGGGAAGGCAGAGTATAGAAACAACACATTCAGAACAGGCAGCTGTGACCCTCAAGTGATCATCATTCTTTGATGATATGAGCATTTCTGTGTCCCGCATGTCCATCCAGTGCTAGGCTTCAGGGACTTATGTAGACTGAGATGTGGTCTCTGACTTATGGGAAGTGATAACAAGGGTTCTTGTGGATTATTGCCTTCCATCCTCCCACGTGGCTGATTAGGAAGAAAATGCTTGAGAAATCATTATTTCCTAAAGCATCCTGGTTTTCAGCGACCGGAAGTGGCTTGTGACAATTTTAGGAGGAGGTTGCTGCATTGGATACCCCGCCCATCTCTGGCCCTGAGCCCTGAGGTTGCATCTTCTAGTCCAGCTGCCCAACCTCTGCCAGCACAGGCATCTGGTGGCACAGATGGGGGTCTGGAGGCTGTCCCTCAAGACCTCAGCGTGGACTCCCTGTCCCTTGGTTAGTTTGTTAGCCAACATGGAGAAGGGACTGGTTCTGCTCTGTGTGGTGAACAGGTGATTCTGGTAAGAGTGAATTAGTGGACTAGAAAAAGAAAGTAAAATAGATCCAGGCCCAGTTTAATCAACTTTCAAAGGAAAGTTTTTTCATGTTTTAAAAAGAATAAGATTGAATTTTTTCATGCTTATCTTGTTGGGGTCTCAAGAAGGACCACAAGGTTTTATTGGTGAGCGATATCCAAATTGGAAGAATGGAAACCTAATCTCTAAGTCGGCTAGCGGGGAAACCCTGAAGCTTTGGGGAATTTCCGCACTGTGATAATCTAGCTTTGTACTTCTTAGAAATAGTTTAATTCCATGTATGAGGACTTTGACTGTGTATAGGGTAAAAGAACCACTTGTTGCTTAGAAGCAATTTGTAACCTAACTGTTTTTTAGGAATAGAGGAAGATTCTAGCAGGGGAGTTTCATTTCTTTGAGTTAAGGTATTATCTTACCAATCTTTTGATAAAATGCAAATGCTATTTCAGTATATCAGGATGCTTTTCACATGAATGGATCTCTTATGGATTTTTTTTTTTTTTTGAGACAGAGTCTCACTCTTGTCACCCAGGCTGGAGTGCAGTGGTGCCATTATGGCTCACTGCAGCCTCAACTTCCTAGGCTTAGGTGATGCTCCCACCTTAGACTCGTAAATAGCTGGGACTACAGGCATGCATCACCATGCCCAGCTAACTTTTTTTTTTTTTTCATATTTAGTGGAGATGGAGTCTTGCTATGTTGCCCAGCTGGTCTTGAACTCCTGGACTCAAGTGTTCCATCTGCCTCGGCCTCCCAGAGTACAGGGATTACAGGCTTGAGTCACCATAACTGGTCATATTTCATGACTTTTTAAAGTAATTGATAGCTAGACCGGGTATGGTGGCTCATGGCTGTAATCTCAGCACTTTGAGAGGCCAAGGCAGGCGGATCACTTGAGGTCAGGAGTTTGAGAAAAGCCTGGTCAACATAATGAAACCCTGTCTCTACTAAAAACACAAAAAGTAGCTAGGTGTGATGGCAGGTGCCTGTAGTCCCAACTACTTGGTAGGCTGAGGCACGAAAATTGCTTGAACCTGGGAGGTGGAGGGTGCAGTGATCTGAGATCACACCAGTGCACTCCAGCCAGGGAGTCTAAAAAAAAAAAAAAGTAACTGATAGCTGAGGTCAAGCATTTTCAAAGGGAAGAAATTCCACCTTGCCCCATGTGGAACTGAAACTACTCTTTGCACATGATTCTGCCCTTCCAGCCTGTGGGCAGAATGCTGTTCTTGGCAAAGCGAGAGTCCCTTATTCCCCTCCCCCCTGCTTTCTAACATACCCAGGGAGGTTCAGATGACTGTGAGCCAAAAAACAATCAGAAAAAGTTGAGAGAATAAAGAGCCTCTCTCCTTTTCACTTGAGCAATAGGCATGAACAAGAAAATTAAGTATTTTTGTTTTATTTTTAAAAATCTTCTCCTTTTCACTCTTCCTTAGATGTGTCTATTTAACTTCATTTTGCATGTGTTGGCAATGTTATCCATGCTGAATAAACTAGAAATGAGAGTTGAGTTGTGAGGGAAAAGGAGAAATTGCAAATGTATGCCTTGGGCGTATGGATCATGTTTGGATACTGAATTGAACCACTAAACTATAAAAAAATGTTATGAAACAGGGAAACTGAACTGGCTATGTGACACTTTTAAGGAATTATTGCTATCATTTAAAAATGTGACAAGGGTATTGTGATTATGTTTAGAAATAAAAATAGTCCATATCTATTAGAGATACATACTAAAGTGTTTATGCATTAAATGATATGATGTCTAGGATTTTCTACAAAACATTCCAAGTCAGGAATAAGGGACAGTGGGTGAGAGGACAGATAAAGTAAGATTGGCTTCAGCGTTTATTGAAGCTGGATGCTGGAGGTTCATTATTCAGGAAGACCCTATGCTACTGTGCTTTGCTTTATTGCACTTAACGGATATTGCATGTTTTACAAATTGAAGGTTTGTGGCAATCCTGCATCCAGCAATTCTTTTTTTTTTTTTGAGACATGGTCTCATTCTGTCTCCCAAGTTGGAGGGCAGTGGTGCCATCACAGCCCACTGCAGCCTTGACCTCTCACACTGCAGCCTTTCGATTTAAAGTAAGAGACATGCGGCCAGGCTGGGTGGCTCATGCCTGTAATTTCAGCACTTTGGGAGGTTGAGGCGGCCGGATCTCTTGAGCTCAGGAGTTCGAGACCAGCCTGGCCAACATGGTGAAACCCCATCTCTACTAAAAACAGAAAAATTAGCTGGGTGTGGTGGTGCACACCTGTAATCCCAGGTACTCGGGAGGCTGAGGCACGAGAATCGCTTGAACCCAGGAAGTGGGGGTTTGCAGTGAGCCAAGATCATGCCACTGCACTACAGCCTGGCTGACAAAGTGAGACTTCATCTCAAAAAATAAAAAGTAAAGTGAGAGACATGCAACTCTTCCTTTTACTCAAATACTTAGAAGCCATTGTAGGGTAATTAATTGGTCTAATTTCAATGTTGTTGTATCTGAAATAATAGAGAGGCCCAAAAAGAGGGAGGGATATGGGGAAACAGTCAGAACATACTGAACACTTACTGACCTTATTGACCTCCCGGGCACAAGCAATCCTCCCACATCAGCCTGTCAGGTAGCTGGGACTAGAGACATGTGCCACCATGATAAATTTTTCTTTTAAAGTAGAGTTGGGGGTCTCACTGTGTTGCCCAGGCTTGCCTTGAGTAATTCTGTTGGCTCCATTTTTCCGACAGCATGTCTCATTTCTTGTCTTTGCATTACATTTTGATAATCCTTTTAATAATTCAACTTTTTTATTAATATTGTATCTTTTATGGTGATTTGTGATCAATGATCTTTGATGTTGCTACTGTAATTGTTTCGGGATGCCATCAAGCCCACCTATGTAAGATGGTGAACTTAATCAGTAAGTGTTGAGTGTGTTCAGACTGCCCCACCCACTGTTTCCCCATCTCTCTCCCTCTCTTTGGGCCTCTCTATTCTTTCAGATACAACAATATTGAAATTAGGCCAATTAATTACCCTACAGTGGCTTCTAAGTGTTTGAGTAAAAGGAGGAGTTGCATGTCTCTCACTTTAAATCAAAAGCTAGAAATGATTAAGCTTAGTAAGGAAGGCATGTCGGGAGCCATGATGGGCCAAAAGCTAGGCCTCTTCTGCCAAACAGCCAAGTTGTGAAAGTTCTTGAAGAAAATTAAATGTGCTACTCCAGGGAATACACAAATGATAAGAAAGTGAAACAGGTCGGGCTTAGTGGCTCACACCCGTAATCCCAGCACTTTGGGAGGCTGAGGCCAGTTGATTGCTTAAGGTCAGGAGTTCGAGACCAGCCTAGCCAACATGGCAAAACCCCATCTCTACTAAAAATACAAAATTAGCTGGGCATGGTGGTACACGCCTGGGTAGTCTGGATAGAGGATCAAACCATTCCCTTAAGACAAAGCATAATCCACAGCAAGGCCCTAGCTCTCTTCAGTTCTGTGAAGACAGAGAGAGGTGAGGAATCTGCAGAAGAAAGGTTGGAGGCTAACAGAGGATGGTTTCAGAGGTTTAAGGAAAGAAGCCATCTCCGTAACCTAAAAATGCAAGGTGAAGCAGCAGGTGCTGATGGAGAAGCTGCAGCAAGTTCTCCAGAAGATCCAGCTAAGATCACTGATGACCATGGCTACACTAACAACACAGTTTCAGTACAGATGAAATAGGCTTCTAATGGAAGAAGATGCCATCTAGGACTTTTTTTTTTTTTTTTTTCTTTTGAGACAGAGTCTTGCTCTGTTGCCAGGTGCCAGGCTGGAGTGCAGTGGTGCAACCTCGGCTCACTGCAACCTCTGCCTCCTGGGTTCAAGCAATTCTCCTGCCTCAGCCGCCCAAGTAGCTGAGACGACAGGTGCACGCCATCACGCCCAGCTAATTTTTGTATTTTTTAAGTAGAGATGGAGTTTCACCATGTTGGCCAGGATGGTCTCAGTCTCTTGACCTCGTGATCCACCTGCCTCTTCCTCCCAAATTGCTGGAATTATAGGTGTGAGCCACCGCACCTGGCCTATCTAGGACTTTTAATAGCCAGGAAGGAGAATTCAAGCCTCACAGGACAGGCTGACTTTCCTGTTAGGTGTTACTGCAATTGGTGACTTTAAGTTGAGGCCAATGTTCATTTTCCATTCTGGAAGTCTTAAGGCCCTTGAGAATTATGCTAAATATCCTCTGCCTGTGCTCAATAAATAGAACAATGAAGCCTGATGACAGCACATCTGTTACAGCATCTCTTACTATTTTAAGCCCACTGTCAAGACCTACTGCTCAGAAATAAAGATTTCTTTCAAAATATTATTGAGTATTGATGATGCAACAAGACACCCAAGAGCTCTGATGCAGATGTACAAGCAGATGAATGTTGTTTTCATGCCTGCTAATATGATACCCATTCTGCAGCCCATGGATCAAGGAGTAATTTTGATTTTCAAGTTTTACTATTTAAAAAATACATCTTATGAAGCTGTATAGCTGCCATAGATAGTGATTCCTCCAATGAATCTGGGTGAAGTCCACTGAAAACCTTCTGGAAAGGATTCATCATTGTAGAAGCCATTAAGAAATTTGTGGTTCATGGGAGGAAGTAAAAATATCAACATTAACAGGAGTTTGGAGGAAGTTAATTCTAGCCCTCAAGGATGACTTGGGGGTTTAAGACTTCAGTGGAGGAAATAACTGCTGCTGTGGTGGAAATAGCAAGAAAACTAGAAGTGAAAGCTGAAGATGTGACTGGACTGCTAACAGTACTTGATCAGATGAGGAGTTGCTCCCTACAGATGAGCAAAGAAAGTGGTTTCTCAAGATGGAATCTACTCCTGGTGATGACTTTGTGAACATTGTTGAGATAACAAAGGGTTTAGAATGTCACATAAACTTAGTTGATGGAGCGGAGGCAGGGTTTGAGAGGATTGACTAATTTTGAAAGAAGGCCTAACTGGGTAAAATGCTATCAAACAGCATGGCGTGCTACAGAGAAATCTTCTGTGAAAGGGGAAGTCAATGTGGTAAATTGTATTGTCTTGATTTCAGGAATTGCCACAGCCCCCTCAACCTTCAGTGGCCACCACCCTGACCCCTCAGCAGCCATCAACATGGAGGCCAGGTCCTCTACCAGTGAAAAGATGAGGACTTGCTGAAGGCTTAAATAATCATTAATTTTTATTAGCAATACATTTCTAAATTAAAGTATGTAAACTGCCTTTTGTGCATACTGCTATAGTACACAATAGACTATAGTATAGTGTAATATTATAACTTTCATATATACTGGGTCACAAAAAATTTGTGTGAGTCACTGTATTGTGATATTGTGATACTGGCCTTATTGTGGTGATCTGGGACCAAGCCTGCAGTATCTTGAGGTATGCCTGTACTATTTCTCTGCTTCTGGTATATGCTTGCAACTGTTCATGACTGAAAAATAAAAGGGAAAAAAATCCTATGCACTGGATAATTTGTTTATGCCAGAGTAGGATATACTTTTCAAAAGGTTTTTTCCCAGGTAGAAATCCATTTTAAAGAAAAACCAGTTAATATATTTATCTTTTGTTAGTCATGTAAATCAATTTAATGTCATCTGGATTTCTTTTTGAATTAAAGCAACCATATAAAAAAAGAACCCAGTACATTAACTATTTGAATCACCCAAAAGTTGCTTTCAAGTTTTCCCAGTGTGCACATTTGCGTTTTTAATTTATTTGTAATATTTGTAGTTGAATGTAGATGTTAGGTTTTTGCTTTTTGTATTTAATTGTTTATCTTTTTTTTTTCTTTTTTGAGACAGAGTCTCACTTTGTTGCCCAGGCTGGAGTTCAGTGGTGTGATCTTGGCTCACTGCAACCCTCCTCCACCTCCTGGGTTCAAGTGATTCTCCTGCCCTAGCCTCCTGAGTAGCTGTGATTACAGGCATGCAACACCACGCCTGGCTAACTTTTGTATTTTTGGTAGAGACAGGGTTTCACCATGTTGTCCAGGCTGGTTTCCAACTCCTGACCTCAAGTGATCCACCCATCTCGGCCTCCCAAAGTGCTGGGATTACAGGCATGAGCTACCGTGCCTGGCCTAATAGTTTATCTTCATCTTCATGTTTCTTTGTATGGATAGAGCCCACATTCTTTTATTTTCTTGGCTGTATCACATTTGTATCACACAGCTGTCATATTCTGTGTTTAGTCTTCCCTGTTTTGAGTAAATTTGGTTGTTTCTAAATTTTTGCTATTTTAATTTCAATAGCATTATTGGTGAGAATTCGAGCTATGGGGAAGAATGATCTCATTCATCTTCTCAAGGGTTTAATGAAAGCTCTCTCATCATTCCTGTTTTATTGATGAGGAAACTCTGCTGTCAGGGTTGAGCATTTAAAAGTAGAGCTGCTGAAAACTGATTTCTATTTGTATGTTGTTACAAAAAATTTAGAATGTTTAATTACTTAATATAGAATGTAAGCCTTAATTTTATTTCAATATAATATCCAGTCATTCAAACAATTCTGCCAATGAAAATAAATTAATTGACCTTTTATTTATTTTCAGTTTGGATGACTTTAATAATTGGATTTCTAAGGCCATAAGTTCTCGAGAAACTGATCGCCTCATCAATTCTGTAAGTTATGAGATACAAAGTTGTTTTCCAGGTGGTTTTCTAAACTTGGAATTTATAGTTTCCAATTTAATCATTGTCGTCCAGTTTTATATTTATATTGCGGAAGGCCAGGTTGTAGGTTCTGCATTCCTAATAGAGAGCAGCCCTCTCTTCAGCTCCTGGGAAGGGCTCTATCCCTTCTCGGTTCAGTGACGTTGGAACTCTGGGGTCTATCAGAATACATGAGGTAGAGACATTTTTCATTTTGCAGGCAGCATTGTTGAATCAATCCAGTTAAGTAGAGAGTGTTAAGGTTAAAACAAAGGAATAAGAGACATCACTATTAAATCTATAAATGCTGATGGCCTCCTCTAATGATTTAAATGTCATTAAATTTGTGTTAATAAATTCAGGCTCATTTATGGGGATGTTGGCTTCTGTGCTTGTGCTAAGTGCACTTATGGACTAATTTATTTAGTGTCATTTATCAACGTGGCCACTGGCAAACTCAGTAATAGGCAGGAAAAGCTGCTAAAGTAGAAAGCCAAACCTCTAGATGGGATCTTGAGAAAAGCAAATCCAAGTATTGTTTAGAAAAACTTGTTTATTTTTTGAGTCAGGATGTTATTCTATTGCCCAGGCTAGAGTGCAGTGGCGTGGTCTGGCTCACTGGAGTCTCAACCTCCTGGGCTCAGGTGATCTTCCCACCTCAGCTTCCCAAGTAGCTGGGACTACAGGTGTGTGCCACCACACCTGGCTAATTTTTGTATTTTTTGTAGAGACGGGGTTTCATCATGTTTCCTGGGCTGGTCTCAAACTCTTGGGCTCAAGGGATTTGCCTGCCTCGGCTTCCCAAAGTGCTGAGATCACAGGTGTGAGCCACTGCACCTGCAGAAAAATTATTTTTAACTTTCTACTCTATCACTTTCTTTCCTAAATTAAAAAAAATGAAATTTACTACTTAGCATTATGAGCTGTCCTCTTTCTCCCTTTTTTTCTGAAGGAGCTGGGATCTCCTAGCAGGACAGACCCTCTTGATGGTGATGTCCAGCCAGCAGTGTGGCGTCCGTCTGCCCCGCCGCTCCGCCTCCGCAGCGTGGACACCTTCAGAGGGTATGTGGGGCTCCCTGTAGCACAGTGGGCACAGGTAGTCACAAGACTACGTAACTACACATAAACACACTTTTAGCTTTTAAAGACTTTTATGTATCTTTTACTTCCTAGGCTAGGAAGGATTTCTTGGATGTAAAAGTCAAGTCAGCAGCCTCTCTAATCTGGAAGACCATCATGATCCTCAGTGTCTATATCGACCGAGGAGAAGTGGATGAGGCCAGAGCCAGTGTCCACTTGGATGTGCAGTCTGCTGAGTGAAGGGCATTTTCATTTGGGCAGGTGGCTCTTACCTGGGGCTACAGACTATACCTCATGTCCAGTCAGTAGCTTGACATCTCAGAAGATGCACTAGTCTAGTGAGGAAACAGCAGCAAGTGGCAGAGGGAGGGCTGATCCTGCTCTGCTAGCAGAGTGACTCGAGTACCCATAGTACCCAGAGCGACCCTCATACCCATAGCCCTTGTGGAAGAACAAAGGCCAGGACCGAGATCCGAAAATAAAGTAAAAAAACTGTATAGCTAAGAATGAATACACGGGTATCAGCTCTTTTATTTCTACTGAAGCCTTCTGAATTCTAGTGACAACCCCTGTAACTTTGTCCTAGCCTAATCAAGCCTTGAGTACCCTGGCAGGTAGATTGGAAGCGTGTAGTAAGAACGATGTGATCATAATGAAACTTGCTAACAATTGTGGAGTTCTCACAATGTGCCAGTCACTGTTCTAACTTGTCTTAATTTATTTAATCTCTTGGTAATCCTATGAGATACATATTTTTAAGATGCCCGATTCACATTAAAAGTAAAAGAAATTATGCTGCTGAGTGAAATAACTTACCCAAGGTCACTTAGGTAGCAAATAGGAAAGCCAGGGTTTGCTTGCAGGCACTTGAGTTAAGAGTCTCCTAAATTACCCTGTTGACACCCAAGGTCAGCACCCTCAGCATTCTGCACAGTTAGCCTCAAACAGTAGCACATCCAGCATCTATTATTCTACCTTTCACTTACCATTGCTATTTTTGGAGATAAGACAGTCACAGCTAGACGGAACTAACATTTATTAAGTGCCTAAAATATGCCAGGCACTGGTTAGCCACTGTAAAATACATCGTTCTCCTTAATAGGTACATGTGGTTAGGGCGTTTTCTCTCTTTTACAGGTGAGTTTACCGATGAGAACCTTGCCCAGGATCTTATGACTAATGACAGAAAAGGATCCAAGATTGTAATTCTGAGCTTGCTGATTCAGCCGGCTGTGTGCCTTCTATTAGAGTTCTTTAACCTAAGATGTCTAAATAATTAACACAAAACTGATTTATTGGAAATATTTTGCTATGTTTTTAAGTTATATCGTTTAAGAGTGCTGTATAAACATTGGTTAAGATGTCATGTTGGCAGTGTTGGCAATGAAGAACTTTAGTGCCTGGTCCTAATAGCACTGATTAGAAAATAATTGCTTCTTGTCTTTGATGTCTCGTCTTGTGTAATAAACTGCTCAGTAGAATTGCATTGTTTCATGACTCTACCTTGTGAGAATAAATGGGTCTTCATTTCAGCCCTTCTTTTTCACATGGCAAACCCTGAAGGGCTTCTCTTTGTTGGCTTCTTCTAGGATTGCTCTCATACTCATGGTTTTCGTCAATTATGGAGGAGGAAAATATTGGTATTTCAAACACGCAAGTTGGAATGGTAAGATATTTCCTAAAAGTAATGTTGCTTATATACATCCTTGTGGGAAAATCACTCAGCATTCTCCCCAGAAACTCCAGAAACGAGTCCGAGCAGCCTCCTCTGGGCCACTGAACTCCTGCCCTCTAGGGTGACCTGTAGATGATTCTGCGAGCCCTTTAGTTTTGTTCCTCCTTTTGTGTGCTGTGTATCTGTAAAGCGTCACTGTAATAACATACCCAAAGCTTCTGCTGTGTGACTGAGGGTCTCTGCAGAATATGTTACGGATTTGGTTGTAAATGAGCATGGTCATGTTCTAGATACGCCTTTTATTACAGCCACCATGCTTTTGGTGGCTGCATCTTCTAGGACTTAATGGTCCTTTTTGAGATGGCATTGAACTAGGATTGGTCTGAGTGGTGGTGAATAACAGCTGTAGGTCTGGCTTGGTAGTTGTTTTAAGAATGGATTAGTGCTTCTTAAATGTGACAAACTTGTCTACATAGTTCAGCTCTCCTGTGTCTAGTTATGTTCATAGGAATTGTCCCAGCCAGGCCCAGTGCTCTTTTGCAGTCTCAAGGAAGAGTTTGTGAGTTTACTTTCTTTTTTTTTTTTTTTAAGGCAGAGACTTACTCTGTAGCCCAGGCTAGATTGCAGTGGTGTGGTAACAGCTGACCACAGCCTCGAGTTCTAGGCTCAAGCAATCCTTCCACCTCAGACTCCAGAGTAGCTGGGACTACAGGTGTGTGCCACCATCCCTGGCTAGTGTTTTAAAACAATTCTTAGTAGAGATTGTGTCTCACTCTGTTGCCCAGGCTGGTCTCAAACTCCTGGACTCAAGCGATCTTCCTACCTCAGCCTCCCAAAGTGCTGGGATTGAGCCATACCACACCTGGCCTATGAGTTTCTTTTTTTTTTTTTTTTTTTTTGGCAGAGTTTCACTCTTGTCTCCCAGGCTGGAGTGCAGTGGCACGATTTTGGCTCACTGCAACCTCTGCCTCCCAGGTTCAAGCAATTCTCCTGCCTCAGCCTCCCGAGTAGCTGGGATTACAAGTGCCCGCCACCATGCCCGGCTAATGTTTGTGTTTTTAGTAGAGATGGGGCGTCACCACCTTGGCTTCAGCACATTGGCCAGGCTGGTCTCAAACTCCTGACTTCAGGTGATCTTCCTGCCTCGGCCCCCCAAAGTGTTGGGATTACAAGCGTGAGCCACCATGCCTGGCCCTGAGTTTACTTTCTATACCAGTGTGTAATCAAGTCCACAGTAGATTTAGGAGATATTTGCATTCTAGAGTCCTTTTGCTTATGCTTTGTGCTTGTTCTGCAGGGCTGACGGTGGCTGACCTCGTGTTCCCATGGTGAGTTGGCGGTCTGCCCTCTTCTCTTCCACGGGTTGACTCCAATCTCCTGTTTTTCAGATGATGCTGGAGGCTCTCTCTGAGATGGGCCTGTGTTATGTGGTTAGGAAGTCCTTCTTACTGGCTAGTTCTCATACTTGACACAGTGCCAACATGTGTGTGTATAAAAGAGTGATTTTGTAGGTAATATTTTGTTAATGTAGGGTACAATATCCTAGATCCTGAAATCTTGTAGGAAATAATAAATTCTGAACACACAGTTCAGTTCCATTAATCCTGAAAGTAATTATAAAATCGTATTTCCTAAAGAAATACAGTATATTGGTATCAGTGAATGCTGATAGACATATAGGTGGGCAATGATAGTCATAAACTAAAATTTAAAATAATAGTTGAGTAATTCAATTCTGTCTCTGATAATTCGTGGCTTCTTATTCTTGTAAAGGGACATTACCTATGTGATGTGAAATTGATCCCTCATTATTAGGTAGTACCAGCCTTATTATTATTTTTTACTTCAAATTTTAAATTTTTGTGGGTGCATAGTAGGTATATATATTACAGGATACATGAGATATTTTGATGTAGGCATACCATGCATAATATTCACATCAGGGTAAATGGGGTATCCCTCCCTTCAGGCATTTACCATTTTGTGTTATAAACAATCCAATTATAATTTTTTAGTTATTTTAAATGTGTAGTAAATTATTGTTGACTGTAGTTACCCTGTTGTGTTATCAAATACCTGATCTTATTCATTCCATCCAGCTATATTTTTGTGCTCATTAACCATCCCTCTTCCTCTCCTCCCTACTACCCTTCCTTTCTGGTATCCATCCTTCTATTCTCTATCACCCTGAGTTCAGTTGTTTTAATTTTTAGCTCCCAAATAAGTAGAACATGTGAAGTTTGACTTCACATGGCTTATTTCGCTTAACATAGTGTCCCAGTTTCATCTATGTTGTTGCAAATGACAGGATCTCATTCTTTTTTTATGGCTGAATAGTACTCCACTGTGTATATGCACCACATTTTCTTTCTAAGTGTCTGTTGATGGATGTGTAGTTTGCTTCCAGATCTTGGCTATTGTGAATAGTGCTGCAATAAAGATGGGAGTATGTCTTCAATGTACTGATTTCCTTTCTTTTGCATCTATACCCAGCAGTGGGATTGCTGGATCGTATGGTACCTCTATTGTTAGTTTTTGAGGAACGTCTAACCTGTTGTCCACGATGGTTGCACTAATTTCCATTCCCACCAACCGCGTACAGTGGTTCCCTTTTCCCTACATCCTCACCAGCATTTGTTGTTGCCTGTCTTTTGGATAAAAGCCATTTTAACTGGGGTAAGATGATATCTCATTGTAGCTCAGTGATGTTGAGCACCGTTTTATATTCCTGTTTGCCATTTGTATGTTTTCTTTTGAAAAATGTCTGTTCAGATCTTTTGTCTTTTTTGTATTTTTTATTTTTTTTGAGATGAAGTCTCGCTCTGTAGCCCAGGTGGGAGTGCATTGGTGTGATCTTGGCTCACCGAAACCTCCACCTCCCAGGTTCAAGTGATTCTCTTGCCTTAGCCTCCCAAGTAGCTGGGATTACAGGTGTGTGCCACCACACCTAGCTAATTTTTGTATCTTTAGTACAGATGAGGTTTCACCGTGTTGGCCAGGCTGGTCTTGAACTCCTGACCTCAGGTAATCCACCTGCCTTGGCCTCCCAAAATGCTAGGATTACAAGCATAAGCCACCGAGCCCAGCCTTTTTATCATTTTTTAATTGGATTATTAGATGTTTTTCCTCTAGAGTTGTTTGAGCACCTTTATATTTTGGCTATTAATTGCCTGTCTGATGGGTAGTTTGCAGATATTTTCTCCCATTCTGTGGGTTGTCTCTTCACTTTGTTGATTGTTTCCTTTTCTGTGTGGAAGCTTTTTAATGTGATCCCATTTGTCCATTTTTGCTTTGGTTACTTGTGTTTCTGTAGAGTGTTAATCAAGAAACCTTTGCCTAGACCAGTGTCCTGGAGTGTTTCCCCAGTGTTTTCTCTTAGTAATTTCACAGTTTGAGGTCTTAAATTTAAGTCTTTAATCCATTTTGATTTGATTTTTTTTTTTTTGAGACAGAGTCTCACTTTGTCACCCAGGTTGGAGTGTAAATGACTCGATCTCGGCTCACTGCAACCTCCGCCTCCTGAGTTCAAGCAGTTCTCCTGCCTCAGCCTCCCAAGTAGCTGGAACTACAGGTGCATGCCACCACACCCAGCTAATCTTTTTTTTTTTTCCAGTAGAGATGGGGTTTCACAGTGTTGGCCAGGATGGTCTCGATCTCCTGACCTTGTGATTTGCCCACCTTGGCCTCCCAAAGTGCTGGGATTACAGGCGTGAGCCACCGTGCCCGGCTTGATTTGATTTGTTTATATGGTGAGAGATAGGGGTCTAGGTTCATTCTTCTGCATATGAATATCCAGTTTTCCAGCATAATTTTTTTTGAAGAGACTGTCCTTTCTCCAATGTGTGTTCTTGGCACTTTTATTGAAATGAGTTCACTGTAGATACATGGATTTATCTCTGAGTTCTCTATTCTGTTCCACTATCTACAAGCCTGTTTTTAAAGCCACTACCATGCTGTTTTCATATCTATAGCTCTGTAGTATAATTTAAAGTCAAGTAATGTGATTCCTCCAGTTTTGTTCTTCTTCCTCAGGATAACTTTGGCTACTCTGGGTCTTTTAAGGTTCCATATAAATTTCAGCATTATTTTTTCTATTTCAGTGAAGAATGTATTTTCATAGGGATTGCATTGAATCTGTAGATTGCTTTAGTGTGGACATTTTAACAATATTAATTTTTCTAATTTATGAACATGGAATTTCTTTCCATTTGTTGATGCCCTCTTCAATTTCTTTCATCAGTGGTTTATAGTTTTCATTGTAGAAATCCTTCACTTCTTTGGTTAAGTTTGAGGTACTTTATTTTATTTTTGGCTATTGGAAATGGAATTACTTTCTTGATTTCTTTCTCAGATTGTTTGCTGTTGACATATGGAAATGCTACTGATTTTTGTATGTTGATTTTGTATCCTGCAACTTTACTGAATTTGTTGATCAGTTGTAATAGTTTTCTGGTAGAGTCTGGGTTTTTCCAAATGTAAGATCATGTTATCTGCAAACAAGGATACTTTGACTTGTTTCTTTCCAACTTGGATGCCCCTTATTTGTTTCTCTTTTTTGACTGCTTTAGGTAGGACTTCCAGTATCATGTTGAATAACAGTGGTGAAAGGTAGGCATCCTTGTCATGTTCCAAATCTCAGAGGAAAGGCTTTCAGTTTTTCCCAGAGACACCAAGGAATGCAGCAAAAGTGAACTTTCACCTCTGTGATCCCTTGCCAAATAATTAGAAAAATCAGTGTTCTAACTTTTGTTTGTAAAAGAGATAATTTAGCATGGTAAAAGAAAAGAAAGGAAAAATGTGTATGTCTCAGACTAAATGGAGAGAAAAAAAGCTTTCATTTTTCTTTCAGGCGCAGAAGTGTGTGTAGAAATGATTCAAATGTCTGTTTTTCAAGGGCTTTGAGGGCGTGCCAGTGAATGTCTAGTTGTTTGGAGACATGATTGTGGCATCATCATCATCATTTCTTTTTTATAACGAAATGGGAGGGTTGTCCTTGGAAATTCCATTTAATATTAAAGAAATTTTCTCCTAAGACAGGACTCAAAGATGTACTGTCAAAAACCTCCCAGCCCCATGGGGCTATGTTCTCACCTCTTCTTCTACTGTTAGCTCAGTATTATTTCAGTAATTGGCTACTTTAAACAAAGTATGGTTGCTTCTCTTACATAGTATATTATAAACTGTTAATGATATACAGACAAAAACATTAGAAATGGCCACCTATTAATAACTGGATTATTTTTAGGTTTGTATTTATTATGGGAACTTCTATTTTTCTATCAATGACTTCTATACTGCAACGGGGATGTTCAAAATTCAGATTGCTGGGGAAGATTGCATGGAGGAGTTTCCTATTAATCTGCGTAGGAATTATCATTGTGAATCCCAATTATTGCCTTGGTCCATGTAAGTACCACCTTTTCCTTCTGTTATATATATTCAGGTTGAAATATGGAAACTATATGTTATAATTGGAAAAAAGTGCAATTCCTCCATCTCAGTGCTTGCAAATAGGGTAATTGTTAGGAAAGTATATACAAGGGTTGTCTAACTATGAGTATTACCATTATTACTATTGAATTTTAGACCTGGGAGGAGCCTGTGAGACTACTCAAACCCTTTTCTTGTACAAAGGAAAAGCCTGAGGCCAAGAGCGATTGAAGGTTTTCTCTGGATCAACTGAGTGTAATGAGAGGCACAGCAGAGACCAGACCAGGCCACCTTGGTCTCCAACTTTGCCCCTTGCTATTTTGGTTTCATCAGCTTTCAATACTGTGCAGCAGTTCATGAATCCACCTTTGCTGGCACTTGTACGGCAGCTGGGTTTCTGGAGGGAGTGATCTCTTTGTCATTAGTCTGGTGGTATGCAGGGAGAGGAGAGCTGAGGGAAGATTTGTGAGCCTGCTGCTTTGAACCAGAATCAGAGTTGGGAGGGCACTAGTCACTGTCCTCAAGGGCCTTGCCCTGTCATTTAGCAAAAGAGGACACAAATGTCTAGGCAATGGCCAAATGGACCCCTCAGGCAATACGTACTTTTATAGGCACTAGCAAGAGGTGGAGGTCACTTCCAGGTGGTGTTTCACATGAGAGTGGACATGATGGATCTCCAAAAAGTGAGCCACTGCTTCCAGTAGGCTTCATTTTAGGGTTTCTTACCAAAGTTTGTTCTTGCGGTGTTACAGCCGGGTAGCTGGTAGGGCAGGGAGGGTCAGTTCATGTCTTGTGTTGGGCCTGCAAGGTCATGGCGGACATGCGAGTTGGTTGCAAATTCCTAATAGGAAGGAGCTGGAGTCAGGTGCGGTCCTGGCTTTATCCCCACACCTGAGTAAGATGCTTTGGTTCTTTTTTATTTTTGCTTTTTTTTTTTTTTGAGATGGAGTTTCGCTCTTGTCCCCCAGGCTGGAGTGCAATGGCATGATCTTGGCTCACTGCAACTGCAACCTCTGCCTCCTGGGTTCAAGCCAGTCTCCTGCTCCAGCATCCTGAGAAGCTGGGATTACAGGCGCCTGCCACCATGCCCAGCTAATTTTTGCATTTTTAGTAGAGATGGGGTTTCACCATGTTGGCCAGGCTGGTCTTGAACTCCTGACCTCAGGTGATCTGCCTGCCTTGGCCTCCCCAAGTGCTGGGATTATAGGCATGAACTACCATGCTTGGCCGATGCTTTGGTTCTTTTCCCAGTCTCCCACCTGGCCAGCTTCCTGTTTTGAGTTTGAGTCATGTCCCTGTCCCTCCCTCTGTTAAGAGGGATTGGCCTGTTTTTGGAAGCTGGGGTGAGCCCATGTCTCTTGACATATGTATTTCCATGCCCAAGAGCTTAAAAAAGACTTACTTAGATGCAATAAAGGTATGTCTTCCCCTTTAGGAAACAAATAATGTTGTCCTGGGATGAGATGAGAGGTCTTGGCTAACACTTGGCTTAACTGTGTCTTCTGCAGTGTCCTGGGACAAGGTGCGCATTCCTGGTGTGCTGCAGCGCTTGGGAGTTACTTACTTTGTGGTCGCTGTGTTGGAGCTCCTCTTTGCTAAACCCGTGCCTGAACATTGTGCTTTGGTGAGAATCCATGTTTTAATTAAAAAAAAAAACAAACACTTTTTTAAATTAAAAATATGTATTGTATAGTGACACAGTCTCACTATATTTTCCAGGCTGGTCTCTAATTCCTGGCTTTAAGTGATCCTCCCAGCTTTGGCCACCCAAAGGGTGGGGATTACATGGGAGCCACCATGCCTGGCCGGAAACTGTGTTCTTTTTGTTGTCGTCGTTGTTGTTGATACAGTGTCTTGCTGTGTTGCCCAGGCTGGAGTGCAGTGGTGCGATCTCAGCTCACTGAAGCCTCAATATCCCAGGCTCAGGTGATCCTCCCTCCTCAGTCTCCTGATTAGTTGAGACTACAGGAGTGCACCACCATGCTTGGCTAATTTTGTTCATTTTTTTTATAGAAACAAGGTCTCACCATGTTGCCCAGGCTGGTTTCAAACTCCTGGAGTCAGGTGATCTTCCCACCTCGGCCTCCTAAATTGCTGGGATTACAAGTGTGAACCACCATGCCCAGCCAAAACTGTTTTTTTTTTTTTTTAAAAAAAAGGAAGAACAAAGTGGGATATGGTTTTTAGAACTTTTAAAATTTCTGCATGGAATACTGTACTTCTGCTAATCGAATACATTCTGATTTCCACTTCAGTTATTTTAATTTAATCTTTATATCAATTTTGTTATGGTACAATATACATGGCATGAGATCTATCCTCTTAAATTTGTCAGCAGGCAGTAATTATATGCATTCTTATTTTTGGTTGATATGCAATAATTGTACATATTTATAAGGCTCGAAGTAATATTGTGATACCTGTGTATCATACAGTGTGTAATGATCAAATCAGGGTAATTAGCACGTTCATCACCTCACACAGTTATTATCATTTCTTTGTGTCAGGAACATGCAAAATCCTCTCTGCTAGTTTCAAATGCATTCTTTTTAAATTTATTTTTGGAGACAGGATCTCGCTCTGTCACCCAGGCTGGAGTGCAGGGTCATGATCTCAACTCACTGTTGCCTTGACCTCCCAGGCTCAAGCAATTCTCCTGCCTCAGCCTCTGGAGTAGCTGGGACTATGAGTGTGCACTACCATCTCCAGCTAATGATTGTATTTATTGTAGAGACTAGGTTTCACCATGTTACCCAGGCTGGTCTTGAACTCCTGGGCTCAAGTGATTCACCTGCCTCAGCCTCCCAAAGTGCTGGGATTACAGGTGTGAGCCGCCATGCCTGGCCCCATTCTTGATGGTATTAAATAATACCACCAGCATCCAGTTTGCTGGTTCAGTCTCATGGGGCATTATTGCCAATTTTTCAATTTCCTTGTAGCATAGCATATATATGTGTAAAATTCATGTAGCATTTTGCTATTTATTCGAATACTATAAAGTTCAGTTTTGAGGATGATCCCTGGGTAGGGCGTGGGAGAATGACGATATTATGATTGGCTATTTGTATTGCTTCTTTATTCATGTCAGAGTTTCATCGTGTTTATGATTACTTCCTCTCTTACTATAAATTGTTGGGTGGAGATTACCCAGCTGACAGTTACTTCTTTCCCCCACCCACCATTAGTGGCAAAAATTCTAGTGGAAATGTTTAAAACCTTCCATTTGGAGTCCTATTCAACAATCAGTTAATAAAGCTGTGTTGTTTTCTAGCTTCTTTCAAGATACGTAACTAGCAAGTTCATCACTGAATCCCATGTTCTCTGGGCGCTTCTTGTAATGTTAGTTACAAGAACTAACAATGACTAAATGGGGGCGTTTTAGTCATTGTTACTCGTTCCTCCTCTGCCCTTGTCCTCAGTGTAATGTGTCCCCTGGCTGTGGATTTCCTTAAGGTGAAGGAGAGGCGAGCTGTGCATGAGTGGCACAGAGGTTGGTCAGCCATGGATATCAAAGCTGCCGTTTTCAGCCCTTCTGTGGGACCTGAGGGTCCACGGAGGCACATCCAGGGCTGTCACCATAGAGTGAGGGGCTCAGTGGGACACTAAGAGCACGTGGACTGCACCCTTTCTTCCTTCAACCACCCAGATCCAAAAGTTTGAATTTCATTTTATTTAAAAATTGTATTTTTAATTTTTAAATCACAGGTATATTGATGTATAAAACTTGCATGTTGAAAGTGTACAATTCGCAGATATTTGCCATATTCAGAGTTGTGTAGCTGTCACCAGTCTGTAATTCCAGAAGGTTTTCCTAACCCATGAAGAAGCCTGCACTCACCGCCAGTCTCTCCCCATACCTCACAACTCCCCCAGCCCCAGGCAACGCCAGTCTGCTTTCCGTCTCTATGCATGTACCTGTTCTAGCCAGTCCCTGTACATGACGTCGTAGAATATGTGGCCTTTTGTGTCTGGCTGCTACCACTTTGTGTATTTTTCGAGGCTCATCCATGTTGGTGCATGTGTCAGCCCTTCATTCCAAGACTGCTGAATTAGGTTCCTTTCAGGGATACACCACATTTGCTCACCTGTTTATCACTGGGTGGACATTTGACTTGTTTCTCCTTTTTGGCTGTTGTGAACAATGCTCCTGTGTCTATTTGTGTACAAGTTTTTGTGCGAACATATGTTTTCAGTTCTCTTGGGCATAGGAATAGAATTGTCTTTTGACTTCTTTTGAACAAATGTTTTGCTGTGAGATTTCATGGAGAGGGAGCATCTGGAGAATCTAACTCGTAGTCAGTAAGTTTTTGTATTACTGCCAAAAAGGCCAAGAAAAGAGTCACCCGGAATTTCCCAAAGCCATGTGCTTGGTACCCTTCTATTTACTTTTAGTTCATGCGTGTTTTATTTTTCTGCCCCCACTCAGGAGAGGAGCTGCCTTTCTCTTCGAGACATCACGTCCAGCTGGCCCCAGTGGCTGCTCATCCTGGCGCTGGAAGGCCTGTGGCTGGGCTTGACATTCCTCCTGCCAGTCCCTGGGTGCCCTACGTAAGCAAACCCCTGAGGGTCATCCCTTGTGGATGTCCTCTTCTGGACAGTAAAAGGTTCTGGGCTTATAGCTTTCAGATGTCTCAAGTCAGAGGAATTCTCTTTCCCTTTTCCTCCTTCTTTGAGGCCTGCTTTGCATGGGAGAGGAGATTGGCAGGTGTCCAGAGTGATTTCCCTGTGGGTGGTGTGAGGGTCAGTTTGAATAGAAATTAGGTCTCCCACCTGCACAGTTTGGGAGCAGTTTGTCGGTGAGCATGCACTAGCCAGAGGGACGTTTTAGCTGACGTGTGTTTGGGGCTCTCTTAATTGGCCTGCATACATAGCCAATATACATCATAACCCCTGCTGAGGTTTTTTTTTTTTTTAATTCCCTGTCCCTCTGTTCGCCCTTCTGCGGTCTTGTCATTTACATATGTTTTTCGCCTTTCTAGTGGTTATCTTGGTCCTGGGGGCATTGGAGATTTTGGCAATTATCCAAACTGTACTGGAGGAGCTGCGGGCTACATCGACCGCCTGCTGCTGGGAGATGATCACCTTTACCAGCACCCGTCTTCTGCTGTGAGTGAGACTCGAGTTCACTGAGAACTGAAAGCTCAGGCTTTCAGAAGTGAAGGAAAGCAGAAAGAGCCAGCCAACTTTAAACCATGTCTGTTTAATAAAACACACTGAGAACCGATGTTTATTTGAAAAGTCAGCTAACATAATGACTTTAGGGTTCACTATAAGGCAGTGTGTAAACATTATGTTGAATTTTAAAGTGAGGATGTGGAGACGGGTACAGTGGCTCACACCTGCATTCCCAGCTACTCAGGAGGCTGAGACCCAGGAGGCTGAGGCAGGAGGATTGCTGAAGCCCAGGAGTCTGAGACCAGCCTGAACAATAATAGTGAGACTCCATCTCTCTAAGGGGGGCGGGGGGAAAGCAAGTGAGAACACATTGTGTAAATGATCATAGCACAGTACTCTTCTGTATGTCAGATTTCCAGAATTTGATGGAGCAGTCCTTGCAGGGGTCAATTCCTGCTGGGGAACAAGGAGGGAGGACGGTGCAGAAGAAGCTGAGCTGCACTGAACCCCAACAAAGGCCCCAGCCAATCTCAGGGGCACCAGGGTGGTGCTGCAGAGTTGTTCTGAATTGAAGCAAGGGATTGGGCCCTTCCTGCCCCTGGGTGATGTGGAAGGGCCCCAGCAAAAGGCTGACCCCTGGAGAGGCAGCTCTCTTTAGTCAAGGGCAGATCCAGAAGAGGCACCCATCTGAGAGCTGTGGTCGTGAATCCTTCCAGCAGCTGGTGGAATGAAAGCTTCGTGCTGAAAGGGTGGGAGGGCTCTGGGGGTGCATGACAGCACCTGCCACACTGTTCATTTCCAGAGGTCCAGTAAATTTCCGGTACAATTTCTGCAGTAACATTTATTTTATAATAAAAAAAGAAAAATATTTAAAAATGTTATTTGCCTTAAAAGAAGATAGGAAGCCATTGATGCTACAGTAGGGTTGATCAAAAAGAATAAATCTGGAAATTAGGTAGGTACTGTGCATTGCATTGGAAGCTGGTCAGGGAGGCATCATGTCACCAGGCCTTTGACCAGTGCTGTTTACTGCCCTTGCTGCAATCACGGTGGCTGCTGGACTGGGGCCTGTCTCTGGGCATCTCTGTTCCCTGCTGAGTGTCCACATCACACACTTTCTTAGCCAGAAGCATTCTGCCTGTAATCCCTGTAAGTCGGCAATGAATTTCTGCAGCAAAACCAGAAAACTATGACCCACTGGAGTATACTCAGGTTTGTATTGGGGCTAGGAGCTGTTTGTGTGTGTTTTGGGGTCAGTGAGTGAGCACTGCCGTCTGCTTCTGTTTGTTAAGGTGCTTTACCACACTGAGGTGGCCTATGACCCCGAGGGCATCCTGGGCACCATCAACTCCATCCTGATGGCCTTTTTAGGAGTTCAGGTATTGGTTCATTTCATTAGGTTACTTTTTCTGACAATGTATGATGTTTTATTCATCACTCATTTAAAAACCATTTCATTAAAATAATTGGAAGCATATTCTCTCCTGTGCTGTTAGTCTAATACATTCTGTTGTGTTTGACAGATTGTGCAGAACCAGAAGTTACTGAAATTCAGCACATTCAAGTAATTAGATATAATTCTTATATTCTCAAAAAAATTCTTATTTATGTGGCTTATCTTAGCATGGCAATTTCTGGATAAAAGGTTTCCCTTGCCAAGGTGTGGTGGCTCATGCCTATAACTCCACACTTTGGGAAGCCAAGGCAGGAGGATTGATTGTTTGAGTCCAGGAGTTTGAAACAAGGCTGGGCCACATAGCCCCTGTCTCTACAAAAAATTAAAAATATTAGCCAGGCACGATGGCACACACCTGTACTCCCAGCTGCTTGGGAGCTGAGGTAGGAGGATGGCTTGAGCCCAGAAGGTTGAGGCTGCAGTGAGCCTTGATTGCACTACTGCACTCCTGCCTGGGCAACAGAGTGAGACCCTGACTCAAAAAAGAAAAAGATTTTCCTGATGGAGTTTGCAGGGTGTGTGGGTGTTGGTAACATTGGGAAGTCACTGTGCCATTTGTCACACTTCTTTGATGTACACTTCTATTAGTCTGTGTGTCCTGACGTAACAAAATACCCGAGACTGGGTAATTCATAAAGAAGAGAAATACTGCAGGTTCATTTGTCTGGTGAGCGTCTGGTCTCTGCTCCCAAAGTGGCAACTCGATTGGGGCATGTCCTTCAGAGGGGACAAATGCCGTGTCCTCACAGGGTGTCCCCAGCTGCTGGAGGATGGAAGGGCAGAGACAGGATTCACTGCCTCAAGCCCTTTTCTAAGGCCGTTCTTGAGGGTGGAGCCCTCGCACTGCCGTCACCTCCTGAGGCCACACCTTCTAATACTGCCACCTTGGTGATTAGGTTTCCACGTAGGAAATTTGGAGGGGCAGATAGCAAACCACAGCAACGTTATCATGGCTTCAGGGCAGGAGGATTTCTACCAAAGTCAATACAGGTTATTCTTGGTTGATCTCACCTGCCATTTTGTTAAAGTTCTGAGTAGTTTTGATTTCAGTCCCCAAAGTTCTCCTTGTTGATGTTTGAAACTCCTGTTTGAGGGAGCTAACCAGGAGGGAGAAGACTTTTGGAGAGTAGTGCCAGCAGAACTTTCTGTGGCCATGAAGTATTTCTTCTTCTTGCTGTCCGGTGGGACATTCCCTAGCAGGGTCACTGTTGAGCATTTGAGATATGGCATTTGTGATTGAGGAACTGAATTTTACATTTTACCTGATGTAATTTTGAATTTAGATGGTCACTTGTGGCTAGTGGCTCAGCCGTTGGGTAGTGCAGACCTGAAGCATACACAGGGAACCCTGGAACACCTCGGGGCATGGGGCACTGGCCCCCTGTGCAGTGCAAAATCCACAGAGGACTTCTGACTCCCCCAAAACTTAAATGATAATAGCCTGCTGTTGACCCAAAGCCTTACCAATAACATCGACAGTTGATTTGCACATATTTTATATAAATATTATACACTGTATTTTTACAATAAAGTAAGCTTAAGGAAAGAAAATGGTATTAAGAAAGCCATAAGGAAGAGAAAATCTATGTCCTATTCATTAAGTGGGAGGGGATCATCATGAAGGTCTGCATCCTCATCAGGAGGAGGAAGAGGAGGAGGAGGAGGGGTGGAGAAGGAGGGAGATAGAGGAAGAGGAAGAGGGAGTGGTGGAGAAGGAGGAGGGTGTGGAGGAGGAGGAGGGGGTGGAGGAGGAGGATGAGGAGGGGGGGATGAGGGGTGGAGAAGGAGAGGGATAGAGGAAGAGGAGGAAGGAGTGGAGGAGGATGGGGTAGAGGAGAAGGAGGAGGAGGGTGTGGAGGAGAAGGACGGGGTTGAGGAGAAGGAGGGGCTGGAGGAGGAGGAAGCGGGTGGAGGAGGAGGGTATGAAGGAGGAGGAGGATGATGATGAGGAGGAGGGGGTTGAGGAGAAGGGGGTGGAGAAGAAGGAAGGGGTGGAGGAAGAGGAAGGGGTAGAGGAGAAGGAAGAGGGTGTGGAGGAGAAGGGGTGGAGGAGGAGGGTGTGGGGGAGGGGTTGGAGGAGGAGGAGGGGATGGAGGAAGAAGGGGGTGGAGGAGGGGGGTGTAGAGGAGGAGGAGGGGGGGGGGAGGAGGAGGAGGAGCATGGGTAAGAGGAGAAGCCGGCAGAGAAAAAGGAGGATGGTGTGGAGGAGGAGGAGCGTGTGGAGGAGGAGGGGGGTGGAGGAGGAGGAGGAGTCAGTCTTGCTGTCTCATGGGTAGCAGAGGTGGAAGAGAATCTGAATGTAAGTGGATCCACGGGGTTGAAACCTGTGTTGTTCAAGGGTCAGCTGTACATTTTGGTGATTCGATAATTTTGTATTTAGAAGTAGCATCTTTATCTGTATAGCCCTTTCTAGTTGATATTGTGCTTTTCCATATATTCATGTAATCCCTACATACACTGTCTAGGTAGATCCATGCCCCTGGCATGGTCGGTCCAGTGGGGAGGCTAGGAGAGCAGACCTGGAGCCATGCTCCCTGGGTTTGTGTCCAGCTCAGCCACTTCCCAGCTGGGTGGCCTCGGGCATCTGGCTGACCCCCTCTGTGCTTCAACAGTACCTACTTCAGAAAGGCATTTTGAGGATTGAATAAGTTAATTTGTGTAAAGTTCTAAACTGGCACATAAAAAACATGGATTAATATTAGCTATTACTACAAATTATTTTTAAAGCGTCTTATCCTTTGATATTTTCAAAATTTAATTCCTAATTTCAGAGGGATTGTATGCAAAGTCCATATTTCACTGTTTTTAAATGTTTCCCTGCCTCTGGTTCCACTGTGTCCCAGTCTCTCTTCCGAGTGCTGCCCAGACTGGGGCACTGAGCAGGCAGGCTGGTCGGAGGGGACCCTTGTCACCTTTGGGGAGAATTCTCCATGGGCCCTGCCTGGAAGTGAGAGCCACGGAGCCTGCTTGTGTGCCCTGTCTCCTCATCATGCCTGGGCTTCTGCGTTCCCTGCAGGACCCGAGACGTGGCTGGCTCCTCTTCCTCCTTCCCTGGGAGGGCCTTCCTCTCTGGTCCCACGCTCCTCCCTCAGCCTCCACTAGTCAAAGGCAGGGGTGATGTCTCCCTCCTTCCTGTAATCCCAGCACCTAGTGGCACACCCAGCAATTGAATCTGTGTGTCTCGTATAAGACAGTGGATAAATATGAAATAAAAATATCCCTTCGGCAATTCTTTTGGTCACACCGTGTTTTTTCCTGCAGGCAGGAAAAATATTATTGTATTACAAGGCTCGGACCAAAGACATCCTCATTCGATTTACTGCTTGGTGTTGTATTCTTGTAAGTAAGCAGCGTTCCTCACTAAAATTCCTTTCCTCCTTCACATGTATAGAGGAATAAAATGTTTAGCAACACTGGGATAGCCATTGTCAACCACGTGGCAACAGGCACCATTCTCTTTACTTGAATAACAGAGAGGAATACATCTTTCCACCTAAATGCACAGACTTATTTTCTTAGGAATATGTCTTTATGAATAAGATAGTGTTTGCCATGAGACAGCCAGGAATGCCTGAATAAATGTGAGGTATGGGCTCTGTGTGAAGGGCCGTATCAGAGAGACGGGGCGAATCTGACCAGGTTGCAGACATCAACTTCCAGATTATGCAGGAAAGAGAGTTTTGCAAGGCTGACCCTCTGTGCATTTCACCCTGACTGTGGCCATGCATCCTCTCAGGAGTCACTGTCATTTAGTCAATAAGCTTACCGTCTTCAACTCAGTAGAATGCGGAAGAGATTTTGGGAGAATATTTTTTAGTTCATACATTTTAAAAATATGTTTCAGGTTGGAAGAGAAATATATAAAGCACAATTTTGAGCCCTCTCTACGTGATTAAATAACTAATACATATGGGTGTTGAAACACAAGTGTTTTTTGAGATAATAATATAAAATGTTAACATCCTTCTCTTCCCCATTATAGGGGCTCATTTCTGTTGCTCTGACGAAAGTTTCTGAAAATGAAGGCTTTATTCCAGTAAACAAAAATCTCTGGTATGGAAAAAGCCTGATGTTTTATGTTTGTTATGGATGATTGTTCATGTTGCAATTGGATGTGCTCTGCATGAGCACTGAAACACCTCCTTTGTACCTCCTAGGTCCCTTTCATATGTCACCACGCTCAGTTCCTTTGCCTTCTTCATCCTGCTGGTTCTGTACCCGGTTGTTGATGTGAAGGGGCTGTGGACAGGAGCCCCGTTCTTTTATCCAGGTAAGTCACCAACCCCAAACAGAATTGGTGATGGTGACCAGGGGGACAGGCCCAGGGAGCTCTGGAGACTCCTTGGTGCTGGGATCTCGAGCCACTGCCCTGGCTGGAGGTGTCCAAAAGCCAGGCTGAGGGAGGAAGCGGCAGGGACCACACTGTCCCAGGTCACACCAGACATCACTGGCCTGCTCCAAAGCAGTCCACCCTGTTTTCACCCACGTATGTTACGGAGTAGTAGGACAGTTTGTGACTCCACCTGTTTCTTCAGGCTATACCAAATTCTGGAAGAGTAGAAATGATTTGGGGCACATTTTCCAGTTTCTGGTTCTTAATAATGAGATTATGCTTGCTTTCTTAATATAAATCCACTACCTTAGAGATTGTGCATTAGAAGAAATATCAAGAGGTGATTCCAAGGGATACGTGGAATGATTTAGATGCAGTTCCACCTAAGGACTAAGAGACAGACCAGATCATTTCAATGCCTCATTTCAGCCCTTTGATTCTAGGAATAGTTACATTCTTTGGACCTCAGGTTTTCTACCTAGAAAATACAAGTTATTAATAATAATTTTAGCTTTCCTTTCAGATTTAGTACTCAAGAATTGTACTGCTATAAAGTGAATATTTTCTAATAACTTTTTTTTTTTTTTGGAGACACAATCTTGCTCTGTTGCCCAGGCTGGAGTGCAGTGGTGTGATCTCGGCTCACTGCAACCTCCACCTCCTGGGTTCAAGTGATTCTTGTGGCTCAGCCTCCCAAGAAGCTGGGATTACAGGTGCATGCCACTACCCCCGTCTAACTTTGTATTTTTAGTAGAGACAGGGTTTCACCATGTTGGCCAGGCTGGTCTTGAACTCCTAGCCTTAAGTGATCTACCCACTTTGGCCTCCCAAATTGCTGGGATTACAGGTGTGAGCCACTGCACCAGGCCTTCTAATAATTTTTGATACAGTTTACACTTAAATACCTAAGATATGCATTGCTTATTTTTGGCAGGAGCCAATAATGGAAGTGCATGCTTTCTGTTTTTCTATTGAACTGGTTTCAAGAATTAAATAGATGATCAGATGTGACTCCTCTGTGAGAAACATGATCTTCTGTATGTCTCTCTTCTTAAGGAATGAATTCTATTCTGGTGTATGTTGGCCATGAAGTGTTTGAGAACTACTTCCCCTTTCAGTGGAAGCTGGAGGACAACCAGTCCCACAGGGAGCACCTGACTCAGAACATTGTTGCCACTGCCCTCTGGGTGCTCATTGCCTACATCCTCTATAGAAAGAAGATTTTTTGGAAAATCTGATGGCTCCCGCTGACACGTGCTACTGGAGGACTCTAGTGGGCCTGCAGGGAGGACTGAAGCAGGCTTTGTTAAAGGGAAGCATTCATTAGGAAATTGACTGGCTGTGTGTTTACAGAATATGGGGGAAGACGCTGATGTCCTCAACTGGTTAACTGTGACACAGCTCTCCAGGACTCTGCCTGTGTATTTGTGACTTACAGATTTGAAATGTAATTGTGTTTTCCTCCCTCTTCTGTGGAAATGAATGTATTTGGACCTTCATTCCAAGGAGATTGGCTTTAACTCTCCAAAAGGGAATTGCCGTGGGTGTTTTTCTTCCGTGTTGGATGAAACAATCCGAGATCTGCTTCTTGCTGACCTTATTTCCCTGCAAACTTCCTTTCCACACACATGCACATACCAACGCGAAATGCCATCACTCCTACTACGGCTGCTATGAAGCTTACTGGATGTGATGTGTCATAACTTAGTCTATTTTTTTGATTCAATGCAGTTTAATGTTTCCAGAAAGCCAAAGTAATTTTCTTTTCAGATATGCAAGGCTTTGGTGGGTCCAAAAAATGTCTATCACAAGCCATTTTTTCTTATCCTCTCTCGGAAAGTTAAAATATAGATGTGTGATTCCCAACCCCTCTTGCCTATCTGTCTGTCTGTCTGTCCATCCATCTGCCTTCTTTCCTCCCTGTCTCCCTGTCCATCTGGATGGCATCCACGGGCCATGGGAGTGGCTGTGGGGAGGGCAGGCACTGCCCATGCTGTGGGTCCAGCTGAGCCGTCCCTGCTGTGTGAGGTGCTGGGCGAGACCCTTGGCCAGCCCGGGCCTTGGCATCCTCATCTGTGAAGTCAGAGGGTGGGGATGACTCTCAGTTTCCTTCCAGCTCTTAGACATGATGAGGTGACAGACATTGATAGCTTTTCTGAAATCTTCAGAAAAAAAGTTTTATTACCGAAAACTCTTCAAAATAAATGATAATGAAAACTTTCAAAAACTCTCATTGGAGTAAGTCTTTTCAAGATGACCCTCCACAATGGAGGTGGCGTTCCTGCTTGTCATCATATAGCCAAAGACGTTGTTTCTTAGGCGTGAAACCGGGGACACAGAGACACACAGCACTGTTGGTGGGAGGCGTCGTCACCCTCCTGAGTGTTCTGTAGGGATGTCCTCGGTGAGGAACATGTGGTCACAGGGTTGTGCTTTACCCACCCTTCCCTGGTGAGATGGGCCTTAGCCTGTGCCGCTGCTTTCAACCTTGTCTCTGCACAACAGCCTTCTGTCTGTTTCTGGCTCTGCCCTAGGCCCTGAACTCTCATCCAGCTTGTACCTGTCTGCTTGTACCTGGCCCCTCCACCTGGAGGCCAGCCCTCGTCTCAGCCTCAGCCTTACCCTCCTCTCCTCAAACACGAAGTGTTTCCTCTTAGGTTTCCCTGGCTTTGTGAATGGATCACGTGTCTCTAGGTATAAACCTGTTGTCATCTTTCTGCCCGCCTCACCTCCGACAGATCTCCCCAGTACTGTCTCCATCTTCCACCTGCAGCTACTCCGTTCTCATTGTCACTGCCACATCACTCAAGTCCAGACCCTTGTCATCATTTTCAAACCAGCCTCCTTCCCTTGTCCCCGCCTTCTTAAAGCCACCTGTCCATTGCCACCAGATTAAGCTTTCTCCAGCCAGATCACCTCTCTTTGAGAAATCTCCATTGAAATGGAAACACCTTCGCCTGGCACACATACTCACCTCTTTATCCCCACGTATCTTTCCCCCTCCCCCTCCCCCTCCCCCTCCCCCTCCCCTCCCCTCCTTCCCCTTCTAAATTCAGCCCAGTGGGGCTTCTCCTGCCTCCATCACATCACAGAAGTACCTCCTGCTTCTGGTTTCAATTAGAGCCTTCCTGGATTGCCTTTTCCTCTGAACTTTTTCCTATCTACAATTTGATCTATTGTTTTTAAACCCCTTACTTCTGAGGTACCTTCTCTAATCTCTTATTCTCATCCCCAAATAGTGTTTTCTTCCTCTGGGTTCTTGTAATGTTAACAATCTCACAGCATTTAGTGCTTTTTGGCTGGTGTGACTTTTACTTGTGTGCATGTGCAATTTCTAATTTCCCACGCTAGACTGTGAGCTTCCTAAGGCAAGAATCATGCCGTGTTTGTTTGTGTATTCCTCATGGCGCCAAACAGTGCCTTGTACATTGAAGGCGCTAAATAAACATTTTTAAAGCAAAGTGATGTGGATTTTTAAAATAAATATTTAAGTGCTGTAAGATGAGCATGTGTCCAGGGTGCCCATGAGAATGTTCATGGGACTGTGGGGACAGTTGTCGTTCCTCTTCCTGCCACCCTTTCCTTGCAGTGAGTCACTGTGGATGGTCCCATTTGTGTCATCCCAAAGTTGAGCAGGGAAAGCTGAGTGGGGCCTCTCCATGTGAGTTTTCTGGAAGCATTTCTCAAACTGGGTGTTACATCAACTAGGGTGTCTTGAGCTGTAAGAAAATAACTCTGGAATCACTTGGGCTAGAGGGGAGTTTCTCTAAGTCCCAACAGAGGCCAGACCCAGCTGGAGCTTGCTGTCAGCTAGCCAAGGCTGCTGCTGCCGCCGCCGGCCTTAGGTGCCCCACACCAGCACAACATTCGTGGGAGGAGAGTGCATCCCGCTGGGGGGGTCCCGTAATCCCTTTTGGCTGGAAACCCCAGAAACCTCTCAGTAGCCTCCCCTCCTGTCCCATCTGCTTGTCCCAAGACCATCAGGGGCAGGGAACTGGGATGAACCGAGCCCACGGCTGTGTGGAGGAAGGTGACCCCCCTGCACAAGACTGTGTTCCTTTGGGAAGGGAGGAGGGAGTGTGTTGGGGTGAGGGGCAGAGCAGGGGAATGGTCATGGGGCAACACCCAGTGACAACTGCAACAAGTGATGACATCTCACAGGGAGGCACGAGCTACTAAGGATGGAGCAAGAAACACTATTCTGCACAGTGGGGAGAAAAATGCGACTTTTTTGATTTTTTTGCATTTATGTTCCTAATTCCTTTTTTTATGATTTTGGTTTTTTTCTTTATTATACTTTAGATTCTGGGGTACATGTACAGATCATGCAAGATTGTTGCATAGGTACATTAACAGCAAGGTGGTTTGCTGCTTCCATCCCCCCATCACCTATACTGGACATTTCTCCCCACGTTATCCCTCCCCACCCTCCCTCTCTGTGTCCACATGTTCTCACTGTTGAATACCTGCCTATTAGTGAGACCATGTGGTATTTGATTTTCTGTTCTTGTGTCAGTTTGCTGAGAATGATGGTTTCCAGGTTCATCCACGTCCCTACGAAGGACACAAACTCATTCTTTTTCATAGCTACATAGTATTCCATGGTGAATATATGCCACATTTTCTTTGTCTAGTTTATCATTGATGGGCATTTGGGTTGGTTCCAGGTCTTTGCTATTGCAAAACAGTGCCACAGTGAACATGCATGTGCATGTGTCTTTATAATAGAACAATTTATAGTCCTTTGGGTATATGCCCAGTAATGGGATTGCTGGGTCAAATGGAATTTCTATTTCTTAGATCTTTAAGGGATTGCCACACTGTCTTCCACAATGGTTGAACTAATTTATACTCCCACCAAGAGTGTAAAAGTGTTCCTATTTCTCTACATCCTCTCCGGCATCTGTTGTCTCCAGATTTTTTAATGATTGCCGTTCTAACTGATGTGAGATGGTATCTCAATGTGGTTTTGATTTGCATTTCTCTAATGACCAGTGATGATGAGCATTTTTTCATATGTTTGTTGGCCTCATGTATGTCTTCTTTTGTAAAGTGTCTGTTCATATCCTTTGCCCACTTTTGGAGGCTTTCTTTGTTTTTTTCTTGTATATCTGTTTTAGTTCTTTGTAGATTCTGGATATCAGCCCTTTGTCAGATGGGTAGGTTGCAAAATTTTTTCCCATTCTGTTGGTTGCCGGTTTACTCAAATGATTGTTTCTTTTGCTGTGCAGAAGCTCTGGAGTTTAATTAGATCCCATTTGTCTATTTTGGCTATTGTTGCCATTGCTTTTGGTGTTTTAGTCATGAAGTCCTTGCCTATGCCTATGTCCTGAATGGTTCTGCCTAGGTTTTCTTCTGGGGTTTTTATGGTGTTAGGTCTTATATTTAAGTCCTTAATCTATCTGGAGTTAATTTTAGTGTAAGGTGTCAGGAAGGGGTCCAGTTTCTGTTTTCTGCACATTGCTAGCCAATTTTTCCAACACCATTTATTATCAAAAATTAGATGGTTGATCTTTTCCCCATTGCTTGTTTTTGTCAGGTTTGTCAAAAATTAGATGGTTGTAGATGTGTGGTGTTGCTCTGGAGGCCTCTCTTCTGTTCCATTGGTCTATGTGTTTGTTTTGATACCAGTACCATGCTGTTTTGATTACTGTTACCTGGTAGTATAGCTTGAAGTCTGGCAGAGTGATGCTGCCAGCTTTGTTCTTTTTGCTTAGGATTGTCTTGGCTATGCGGGGTCTCTTTTGGTTCCATATGAAGTTTAAAGCAGTTTTTTCCAGTTCTGTGAAAAAGGTAATTGGTAGTTTGTTGGGATAACGATAAATCTATAAATAACTTTGGGCAATATGGCCATTTTCACGATATTGACTCTTCCTAACCATGAGCATAGAGTGTTTTTCCATCTGTTTGTGTCTTCTCTTATTTCCTTGAGCAGTGGTTTATAGTTCTCCTTGAAGAGGTCCTTTACTTCCTTTGTTAGTTGTATTCCTAGGTATTTTAGTCTCCTTGTAGCAATTGTCAATGGCAGTTTCCTAATTCCTATGTATAATAAAGTGAATGTACTGCCAGTTAGATCATAAAATGTATCTTTTTCATGGCCAGCAGAGGGCATCTTTTATAAATGCATAATAACCCAGTTTGTATCAAAGGGTATTAGCTTCAGTGAAATTTCAACATGCTGTTACTTTTTCCTTATAATGTAATTCTGTTTTCCAAATAAATGGGGGAGACAAATGGACTTTGAGAAAATTTCTCAGCATATCAAACTGCCTTTCACAAAGAGATCTTTGTATGGGTTGTAAGAACACTAGGAGTAATCGGATGCAGTGGTACATGCCTACAGCCCCAGGCACTCGGGAGGCTGAGGTGGGAGGATCCCTTGAGCTTAGGGGTTCGAGGCTTCAGTGAGCTATGATTGCACAACTGCATTCCAGCCTGGGTGATAGAGCAAGACTCTGATTCTAAAGAAAACAAAATGAAATTAAGGCTAGAGCTTCAAAAGTGCTAAGCAATACACCATATAAGCCATGACCATATTAATAATGAAGTTTCTAGCATAATTCCAGCTTTTGGAGTCTTTAACACACCTCTTCTTAAGCTTTGAAGTTAAGTGGGAAAACATTACCAGGGTTTGTTTTTTAGGTACATAATTGTGTAATCTACCAGTTTTTACTAGAATGTAGTAAGTCAGCATTTTTCTCTTGGTAATCAGTTTCTGTTGAGCATTCATTCCAAAATTGTTCTTCAAGCTACATGCATTTCCAAATTCAAAGTGAATGGAAATGCTTGGCTGGGCGTGGTGGCTTACACCTGTAATTCCCGCACTTTGGCCAAGGTGGGTGGATCACTTAAGGTCAAAAGTTTGAGACCAGCCTGGCCAACATGGTGAAACCGCTTCTCTACCAAAAATTACAAAAAAGCCAGGCATGGTGGCAGGCACCTGTAATCCCAGTTACTCTGGAGGCTGAGGCAGAGAGTTGCTTGAACCTGGGAGGCAGAGGTTGCAGTGAGCCGAGATGGAGCCACTGCACTTCAGCCTGGGTGACAGAGCAAGACTCTTGTCAAAAACAAAAACAAACAAAAAAACAACAACAACAACAACAAAAAACAAAGTTACTGCAAATGCTAGATGTTTGCATTATGCCATAAAATGCCTCAGATATAAATGCCTTATCCAATTGTGTTTGTCAAAAGACTGTAATAGACAAAATATGCCATCACATTGCTGGCTTTTTTTTTCCCCCAGAATTCCATCCGAAGTGCTAGATTTAGGACAGCTGGCCTTGCCTACTGCCAGGAGGAGCGCATGGCTTCCCACAGTGTCCATTACCATTTGGGGTTCAGTGGAATCCTAGAGAAATCATTGCAGCACTGTTTACAATAGCAAAGACCTGGAACAAACCCAAATGCCCATCGATGATAGACTGGACAGGGAAAATGTGGCACATATGCACCATGGAATGTATGCAGCCATCAAAAACAATGAGTTCGTGTCCTTCGTAGGGACATGGATAAACCTGGAAACCATCATTCTCAGCAAACTGACAGAAGAGCAGAAAATCAAACACCGCATGTTCTCACTCATAGGCGGGTGTTGAACAATGAGAGCACATGGACACAGGGAGGGGAGCACTACACACTGGGGTCAGTTGCGGGGAAATAGGGGAGGGACAGCGGGGGGTGGGGAGTTGGGGAGAGATAGCATGGGGAGAAATGCCAGATATAGGTGAAGGGGAGGAAGGCAGCAAATCACACGGCCACGTGTGTACCTATACAACAATCTTGCATGTTCTTCACATGTACCCCAAAACCTAAAATGCAAAAAAAAAAAAAAAAAAGCAATTGTTTTTCTGATTTTCCGCTGTTCATGGTCAGCTGTTCTTGTATTTTATCCTATACATAGTCACACCTATACTTCCATAAACGAGAGTTTCTATTCTGACATTTGGTCAGTCTTAGCGTCATTTGGCTACAAACTGGTACCTCCCTCTCACTACATCCTGTGCAGCTCAATCCACAGCTGATTGAACAGAGGTACAGCCTGGCAGTGTGACAACCCTAGGTGATGCTTTCCTGTCAAAGGACACCAAGAGGACACTGGCCACTAACACTGTTACAGCAGGGAGGTGCAGCATCAACAGAGCGCAAAGGCTGGAGGCGTCATAAAGGGCGGGGGGGCGCCAGGGGGGAGTAACTGAGGGGAATGGCTGTCCGTGTGACCAGCCACCTGGATTCGGTTACCTGACGTTGTCTGGAGGAGAAACAAACCGTCTAACAGGAGGCAGCGATGCAAGTTGTAGGAAGGTGCCCACCGAATTGTGGCTTGCACAGGCAGGAGAGCCCTGGCGCGAGGGCTGGCCGGGGACAGCGAAGCGAGGGACTCAGCTCTGTGGCCCCGCGTGCCTGCCAGTGTCGTCCCGGAGGCGGGCCGCGCTCTAAACCCACAGGGCTGGACGGGGCTGAAGATGGGCTTCCAGATCAGTGCGAGGGGCTGCTCCCAGCAGG